ACCAGCCTCTGCCTGGGGGACTGGGTGAGGCCTTTCTGGGTCTGCTGGCCTTTGTGTGGCCTTTCCCCCACCACCCGGCCCCCTGCTCTCAGATCCAGCCTGCATCTCCACCATCTAAGATGCCTCCTGGTCCTGCCTGTTTGTGGATTCTGAGACCCCACTTGCTTCTTTGCCCACCTCAACCCCTGGAATTAGCACAGTGAAGAACACAAGAACACAACACAGTTATTACACTTCCATCCATTTACCTTCTTCGATCTCTAACCTCGAGGAGAATGGATTAATCAGTGCCATGGAGGCAGAATACAGAACATTCTGAAGCTATCAGAAGGAAAGAACCAGCTGCCTGCACCACAAGACAGACACAGCCCAAAAGCAGAGTGTTGAGGGAGAAACATAAGGAAAAGAAGGAAATCCAGAACAATACCCATTTATATAAATGAAAAGCACATACACACCAATGGCCATTAACCATAAAAAAAAGTGCTCAATTTCATTAGTCATCAAGGAAATGCCAATTAAAACCAGAATATGAAACCTCTGCACACCCACTGAAGGTGCTAAAATGAAAACGACAGAAGTACTAAGTGTTAGAGGATGCGTGCATTCACTGCTGGTGGGGAGAATGTTGGTGGAACCCCAGTGGAAAACTGGCAATATCTGCTAAAAGTGAACGCATACTATCCTATGACTCAGCAATTCCACCCCCAGGTAGGTACCTGGCAGAAATAGGTACATATGTTCATCAAAATTGATGTACTAGAATGTTCATACATGTGCTACTCATGAACCCCAAACCAGAAACTACCCAAACACCCATCAGCAGTAGAACGGATGAAGTCTGCCCTATGCAGGATTCTGTACAGCAACAAGAATGAATGAACTACAACAAGCAGCCACATATGACTCTCCTGAGCATAAAGCTGATCAAAAGAAGCTAGACACGAAAGAGTTCCTATTATTCAATTCCACTTTAAATAAATACCAAAACCAGGCAAAACTAGCAAGGGGAATGCGATGAGACTGTCGTCGTTAACTCTGGGCGGGTGAAGTGGTGGTGACAGGAGGGCACAAAGAGATCCTCCGTGGTGCTGATAACGTTTGGTTTCTGCGTTGTGCTGCTCTCACCGATGTGTTCAACAACGGAAAACCCTTTGAAATGAATTTAGGATTTGTACACTTTCCCATCATGTAGGTTCATTAGATGTGAAACATAAAAAGAAAAGCTTTGGGCTGTTAGAAGAGAAAACGCATATGCACAGGCAACAATACTACCTGTTTTACAAGGATGTGCACATAAATACCTACTTCAGCTCTTAGAGAGGTGCCTGTATTAAGGAGACGGCAGTAGAGTGATGATAGGGGAAAGAAACACGACGAAAACACAGGAGAGGAGTGATAATATGTTTAACCCAGCTTCGAACGTGAGGCAAAGTAAAGGCAAACCTTGGGCAAAACTTAGCGCCAAATAAAGGCAATATTAGTTCTGAAAAACATTTATCTCTGACAGCTGACTACATGTTCCTCTTACTGCTTTAATTAAATAGGGTTGGCCAGGAGCGGTGGCTCATGCCTGTAACCCTGGCACTTTGGGAGGCTGAGGCAGGTGAATCACAAGGTCAGGAGTTCAAGACCAGCATGGCCAACATGGTGAAACCCCCGTCTCCACTAAAAATACAAAAAATTAGCTGGGCATGGTGGCCTGTAATCCCAGCTACTCAGAGGGCTGAGGCAGGAGAATCGTTTGAACCCAGGAGGCGGAGGTTGCAGTGAGCCGATATCATGCCACTGCACTCCAGCCTGGGCAACAGTGTGAGACTGGATCTTAAAAAACAAACAAACAAAAATTAAATAGGCTCTGGCAAAGAGAAGGGAGAGCCAAGATCTTGGCAAGGTTCTTTGTAGGAAGTGCCTGTCTCCAGACGCCTGTGGCCCTTCCCTGCATTCTGAGGCCTCTCTTGAACCTCAGGTGTGCTTTTATGGGTGAACCTCTACAGGGTCAGAGCTCTGGTTCCTCTTTCCCTGGGTTTCTCTCCCCCTGTTTAAATTTGGGGTGCGTGTAGATTTAACAGGCTCAGCCCACCTCTCCTGCTGGCAACATCCAGTTGCCCAGTACGAAAGGGGAGTGAAAACCCCACTCCTGCTACCTATGGGAGGAGGGGAGGCAGGTCTCCACCCCGACCCCCAGCAGCTCTGTCCTAGCTTTGTCTCCTGCTTGACCCAATGTCCGTTCGCAGTGGCATCTTCATGCTGAGGCCGAAAAGCCCGTGATGGAAGTTCTTAGGGAGGTGGGACCTTCCCGCTGCTGTACTCCCCTCCGGCCTGGTAGGTGTGACTCTGAACGGCGGCCCCGCCGGGGCCGAAACGTTAACGTTGCCTGCACTTCCTCGTCTGGCCGATAGTGGGAGCTGCTGGCCCACCTGAGGCTGGTCGGGCGCTAAAGACTGGCAGCCGACCTGTGTGGGGTCCATCCTCGGTCCCGACACCCCACTCGACTCAGGGCCGGAGGGCCCATATCCTGAACTTTACAGTACTGTGGACCGACTTTCTTCCAGATCTCCTCCTGCAAGCAGAGCAGCCCCTCCATATGCACGTACCTAAGGCGTCCAGCGAAGCCCCATACCCAGGTTGCAAAGGGACGCTGTCCCCCACCCCCTCGTCGCCCCCCCACGTCTCCAAGATCCCCATCACGGAGGGGCAGGTCCCAGCCTCCGGGCTCCCAAACCCATCACCTCTGTGCCCTCTGGGACCCCGGGGCCCATTTGTCTCTCTCAGAGCGGTTCTTGCTTCCGGGAGCCCCGAAAATATGGCAGGAGAGTGCACTGTCCCTTCCAGTGGCCGCTCTGATCTGTGGGCAAAAGCTGGGAGCCTGTTTCGTTTAAAGCAGAAGTGCGTCCCCGCAGGTTCTGGGCAGGGGCGTGTGAGCAACCGTTTGTCCGTGTCTGTCTCCGTGCGTGTGTGCCTGTGACCGTGTCTGTGTATGAGAGACAGTGGGTGTGTGGCTCCAGGCCTCTGTGTGCGACGAGGTGAAGTTTGTGTGTGGCCCAGGAGGGTGAATGTGTGTGTGTCTGTGTGTGTTTGTGTATGTCTCTGTGTGTGTGTGTGTGTGCGTGTGTGTGTGTCGGTTGCCTGCTTGCCTCTGGGTCTGGGTGTGTGTGTGGTTCTGTCAGCGTGTGCGTCAGTGTGTTCAGGTAGGTGTGTACCGTTGTGCAGATGTCTGTGCCATATCTGTGTCTCCAGGAAAGTGTGGTTGGAGTGAGTGTGTGCGTCTCTGTGTCAGTGTGTCAGTGGATGTGTGTCTAAGTCATGTGGGCGTCTGAGTTTGTCAGCGTGTCTTCCTCAGTGTCAGTGTGTGTCAGTGATGTGTCTGTCTGTGTCTGTGGGTGTGTGGGTGTGTGTGTCTGTCTCAGGGTGCAGGTGTGTGTCTGTGTCAGTGCAGGTATGCCTATGGCAGCGTGTGTCTGTCTCGGCATGAGTGTCAGTGGACACCCGTGTCCACGTGGGTGGGTGGGTGGGTGTCTGCTGTAGCCTTCCCAAGTCAGCAGGTCGTGTGTGTGTGTGTGTGTGTGTGTGCGCGCGCGCGCGCGCCAGTGTTTGTCAGTATGTGCCTGTCCGCCTCTGCGTGGGTGGCCGTCTGTGGCGAAGCGTCCCCGGGTCGGCGTGTGTGTCCCCCGCGTGTCTGTCTGTCCGCCTCTGCGTGGGTGGCCATCTGTGGCGCTGCGCCCCCGGGTCAGTGTGGGCGTGTGCGCCCCGGCGGGCTGGGCGGGCGCGGGTGTGTCCCCCTCCGAGCGGGCGGAGCGCCACGTGCGGAGCCCCCGGCGCGTCGCTCTGGGGCGGAGCCAGCCCGGTGCCCCGAGCCCCAGGCCCAGCCCAGGCGGGCCCCGCCCCCGGCCCCGCCCCCAGCCCGAGCCCGCGCCGCCCGCCCAGCCCGGGAGCCCGGACCGAGCAGCGCAGCCGAGACGGCGGCTGCGCCCGTAGGATGCGGGGATCGCTCCCCCGGGGCCGCTGAGCCCGCGCCCCGTGCCCCGAGCCCCGCGCCGAGCCGAGCCGAGTCCGCGCCGAGCCGCAGCCGCCCACCCCGGGGCCGGGCCGGGGGACCAGCAGGTGAGCTAGTGCCCCCGCGCCCGGCAGCCCCGGCCCGGCAGCCCCGGCCCGGCCGGAGCCCCCTCCGCCTGCCGCCGCCCAACTTTCCTCCCCGAGAGCCGAAGCCTCCAGCCCCTGCGTGCTCCTCTCCTGCCCCGGGTCCTCCCGGCCGCTCCCTCCCCGACCAGTGCCCCAGAGGGCCGGAAGGGGAGAAGGGGCGCAGATCCGCCCGGCTGGAGGGGATCCCCGGGGGAGGCGTCCCTGATCACCGCGCGCCCCCCTTCCCTTCCCTTTCCTTCCGGGTTTCCCGGTGCGCTGTCGAGGGCCGGGGGAGGGGGAGCTGCGGCCCCCGCTTCCCCCATCCCTGGCGCAGGCTCGGGGAGGGTCTGGGATTGGGACCCGGATTCCGGAGGCCGGAGACCCCAAGGTCAGAGCGGCGACTGGGCGCGCAGTGAACGTGGTTCCAGAGAGCGTGGGTTGCGGGGGCTGACTGAGCAGGGCTGGATACGAAGGAGGAAGCCAAGCACCCCCTTTCTCTGGGCACAGGGGGAACCGTCTGCTCGGGCTGTCCTCTGTGTGAGACGAGATCTCTGCGCGCTTAAACCATGGAGAGATCTCGGTGCCCTTTGACGCCCTAAAGGGGCCGCATCTCCTCTGTCTGATCTCTGCTTCTTGAAGGGGGAGAGATCTCTGCGCGGTGAGATTGGAGAAAGCTCTCTGCCTTCCTCTCTCTCTGAGCCGGTCAGATCCGCGCACTCTGATGGGAGGTGACTCTCGAACTCCGTTGTTATTTGATCGTCTTTGGTGGCGCCCTGGTAGAAAGTGGAGGTGCCAAGCCTTGTCTGAGAGGCCAAGGGCTGGTCGGAGGCAGAGGTGTGGGGACTGTTAGTGGCAGTGATGAGGGTTGGGGGAAACGATGTTGGGGACAGTAGGCCTGCCTTGCAAACAACTGTTGGAAAGCAGCGCACAGCCAGATCAGGACGCCATGGCTGAGACAGTGCAGGACTCACGCTTGTGGTCCGTAGTGCCTTCAGCCCAGCCCCGGGCCATGGGATCCATCTCCTTTTAATAGCCTGGGCCTACGTTCCATTCCCAGGTGTCTGCTCACCTCCTGCTGAGGCCCCTGGTGTGTTTCCCGGTGAGCCTAGGCGGTATCATCCAGACAGGCACACCACATGACCCCCGCCATGCCATGGCATCCCAAGGCCTCTCCCAGGTTCCTACCATCCTTCAGGATCTGATGGACCCAGAGCAAAAGAGGCGCCAGCTACTGGAGGCTGAGGCCCTGGCTGCTGCCCTCAACTCCACCTGTTTGACTTCATCTCCACTCAGTTAGAATTGGGCAGGTGCACCTGAGTCGGTGGAAATGAGTGGGAGGGGAAATGAGGGCGGTCAGGCTGCTGTCCCAGGAGCATGGAGAGGGTCAGGTCAGGCAACAGCCAGGGTGTGGAATGCAGATTCTATGTTTCAGTGTCCAGCCCTGTGCTGAAAAGAGCTTCATTAATCTTTTGATCCTGTCACCACCATATTGTGCAAGTGGGGAAACTGAGGCCCAGCGGGGCTCAAGGAATTATTCAATGTCATCTAGAGAATCAGTGGATTGGGAGCACCACTCAGTGTGAAGATACCTTGAGATCTGCTTTCTGTGGGGCAAGTAAGCCTAGAATTGACCCAAGAGGATCTGAGCGGAAGAGGAACTGGCCCTGGGGTGCCAAGAGCCAGCATTCAGCCCATTGTGGCATGGGCAGCTGCTGTGCTCCAAGGTGCTCGGCCCCCTCTCTGTGGTGATCAAAGCTCCTCTGGAAAAATTCTAGGATTGACTCAGCATGAAGACTGGGCTCCGAGGACTAGTGGGAAGCACCAGAGACAGCTGGGGCTAGGGGAACAGCGGAGGCTGGTGCCCAGGCAATCCAAGGAGAAGGGAGTCCTGAGGGAGCCAGGGACAGTGGCAAATTGCAGTCCGTGTCCTGTTCAGAGAAGGCTGGCTTCTGCTCACTCTTGGGAAAATTATTGGAAGGGTGTGCAGTGATAGAAGTGTGTCCCCAGAGCCCACTCACAGGAGAGGTGGTTACCTTTGGCTGGGATAGTCAAGAGTCTTATTCTAACAAAAATAACCTTCCACTGGGTTTTGAAGAGTGAATAGGAGTTTTCCAGGCAAGGACAGTGCAGTCTAGCCGTCAGGACCAGTATGTACAAAAACACAGAAATGTGAAACAGCGCAATTATTAGTTGAGTGATTCCTTGGGCCCCATGATGTGAGGAAGAGAAGAACGGAGTTCAAGCCAAGGTCACAGTCACGGGGGCGCTTGTGAGCTCTGCTCAGGAATTGGGAATTTATCCTCAGTAATGTTACTAAAAATAGCTAACATTCACTGAGTGCTTTCTGCAGGCCAGGCATGGCACTAAGCGCTTTATAAGGTTAATCTCACTGAATCCTTGCATCAACCCTAGAGGTAGGGACCATCATAATGGCCATTTTGCAGATGGTGAAACTGGGGGTCCAGAAAGGTTAAATAGTTGCACACCGTCACACATTTTCTAAGTAGCAGAACTTGGGTTTAAGCCCAGGTGTCAATATCTGCTATGCACTCTACCACCTCCCCGGCTCAGACCACGGGTACCATCCAAAGTCTTTCTACTGAAGGAGAGGTGACTGGCAGGTTACCACAGGATACAGAATTTGTAGTGTTCCATCTTCCTTCTAAGTGATGTGCTGCCCTCCCATTCCCCACCTCCAACGTCTCACTAAACGAGGTGTGCTGCCCCCAGTCGCGCCATGAGAAGAGGAATGGGCAAGTGAAATTTGGGTTGGCAAGCTTGATGAAGAGCAAAGGAGAAGGGACAGATGTTTCATGGGTCTGATTTGAACCTGTTGTATTTCCGGGGACACATGCTGACATCCAGAAGGTAGCTGGAGGGAAGGGCCCAGGAAGGAAGTGTGTTCAGGATGGAGATCTGGGCTGGAAATGGAAACTTGGAGTCTTCAGCAGAGCTTGGTCATTGGAGGCGTGGCACTGAATTAGATTGCCCAGCGAAAATGCAGACCTGGGGTTCTCAATCCTGGTGACGTCAGCATCACCTGGAAAGCTTTAAATAAAAATACCTCTGCTTAGGCTCCACCCCTAGACATGCTCATTCATTTGGCCCTGGGATGGGACCTGGGCATCAGGAGTTTTGAAAGCACCCAGGTGATCGTAACGTGGTGTAGAGGGTGAGAAGGAAGGAGGTTGAGTCGGGAGCCCAGAAGCATTCCAACAATCAGGGCAGGAGAAGTCTGCAAGAAGGCTGAGAAGGAGCAGCCAGAGAGGTAGGAGGAAAGCCGGGAGTAGGAGGTGCCGCGGAAGGCAGGCAGAGTGCCCTGTTCCCTTCATCGGAGAGACTTAAGGTGCATTCTCAGAAGTTCATGGATAGATAGAAAAAGAATGAATAATTTAAAAAGAAGTGTCCATTAGATCAAGCCACGGTGAGGGTGCTGGTGACCTTGGCAGGAGAAACTCTACTCAGTGCCCGCAGAATGTAGTGCGGGTTCTTGTTGAATGAATGAATGAATGGGTGACTTGGTGGGAATGGAAGCCAGTTTGGAGTGGGTTGAGAAGTGAGCTGGAGGTGAGGACGTGGAGACAGCATGTGTAGACAGCTCTTTCAAAAAGTTTGATGGTTGAAGAGGGAGGAGGGAGATAGAAGGGAGCTGGTGAGGGGTGGGGTCGGGGAGGGCTGTCAGGAGAGCCTGGAGTGGACGCTGTAGGCGTACGTGTCCGGGCAGCACATCGCCTGCAGGAGCTTGGGGATGGCCTCTCCCTCAGTGAGGGCTGCAGGTCTGTGCGTCAAGATAGTGCCCATGCAGTGTGTAGTGGTTATGATTTGTTCAGGGGGCAGTTAGGGAGGCTGGGTGGGAGGAATAACTCTTTCTGTGAATCTCCAAGATAGAGATTTTAATGGCAGGTTAAAATCTCTGTGATTCCTGCTGGGGATGTGGGCAGGAAGGGGAGGGAGCCCTTGCTCTACAGAGAGAAGGGTGTTCTTGATGAGGTTGTCTAGGGCAGGTGTCCAGGGTGATAGGATTGGGAGAAGGAAGCTGGAGTAAAAGTCCTGTGGCTACTAAATACGTGAAGAAGGCAGAGACAGGGGAAAAAACAGGGCCAATGGGTAGTCTGTCGACAGAGGCTGGGCCCCATGGGAAGCAGACCCACTACAGGGCTGGCCAGGGCTGCAGGGGGAGCCTGGGACGGGAGGGCCCCACTGCCTGCTGCCAGCCCAGGCTGCCCTGATGCAGAGGTCTGAGGCAGAGTTTGTGCCTTTGGGCCATGGAAGGTTCTAGAAGGTGTACAAGGTATAAAAATCGCTCTAATGAAATTTATGTGCAAGTGGGGAAAGGCAGACTGGATACCATTAAAGCAATCCATACAGAAGATCATTTGAGATTGGGGCTGGTGCTGTGAAGGAAATACAACAGGGCAGTGTGATGGAGAGGCTCGGGTGACTCTAGACTGACTGGGCAGGGAAAGCCCCTTGAAGGAGGAGACTGAACTGAGACCTGAATAACATGAAAAAACCAAACCTGAGGAGATCTTGGGAAAGAATGTGACAGAAGGAACGGCAGGTGCAAAGGCCCTGAGGCAGGGGCGAGTTCCGTGGGTTAGAGCAGAGGGAACAGGGTGAGGATGGAGAGGTTCTGTGCCTCTATTTCCAACCCGCCCCTTTAGACTACACAGCTTACACCGTTCACCCTGGGCTGGCAACGGTTCCTGAGGATGAGACTATTTTTAGACATAACTCTTCTCTCTGTGGGCCTAGAACATACCGTGTCTTTTTAAAATGATCAATATGGAATGACGCTATTTATAGAGACCCCACGTCAATTCCCAGAGCCTGGGACCCCCAGTGGGGGGCAAGTCCAGGACCAGGCTTTGTGGAGGTAGGCACCACCCCTGGCACAACACAGGCCATCTGACATCAATTCTCTAATGCTCATCTTACCTCCTCTATCCTGCCTGCTGTCACCTGTCTTCCCTGAAGAGCCACAGCCAGGGGCTGGGGAGCTCAGTACCCACAGCTCCCCCAGCAACTGCATTTCCCCCATGGGTACCTGGTGTGCCCCAAGCCCAGCAGAAAATTTACTTGTGATTTTTGAAGCCGGAGTCTGATAGAACAGTTTCTCAACTTCTCTTGTCCATTCCTCACTCTGTTTACTATTCTGGAGGGACAGAAAAGGACAGTGGAAATCCTTAGGACCTCCCAGGTTTGCCTCAGAGGGCCAGGGAGAGATCTGCCCAGCACAGGAAGAATGAAAGGTTGAAGTTAGGGACTGAGATTCCCTGGCGGGAGGTCAGTGTGGTCCAGAGCAGCCAGCGGAGGCTGCCTGGAAGAGGTGGGACTGGAACCCCACCACAGAGGATGCATAGAATTCAGAGAGGTGAGTGCTTTGATCGCGTGGCTGGGGCTGTTGTCAGGACAGAATGTTTATGCTCTGAGGCTTCAGTTCTTTCTCTCCTCTTCAGTTTCTTCTCCTGATTAAATCTCCTAGGAGGGCAATGGAAAGTCATGTCCCCACAGGGGTATTAGCAGAGTGGAGGGATGGAGCTGCTCTCACAGCATCCATGTGGGCCCAGGAGGGTCCCTCGCCCACTCAGAACCCTCTGTCCTCACCAAGGGCTTTCTCTGCCCTCCTAACAGCCCTGGGTAACTGAGCTGGTGCTGGCTGCCCTATAGGCTCAAGGTCACATGGGGATGTGGACAGAACTCAGACAGGACCTCACCCTTGCGTTGCCCAGGGAGCCCCGTGCTTTCTGGGAAAGGATTTTGAATAGGAGAGAGGCTTCTCCTGGCACCAGGAAAATGGTAAATGCTGTTCTGGTGGGTATTGATTCCTCGAAGGCTTGTGCAAGGCAGGAGGCCTGGCTCAAGAGGCCGCTTTCAAAGAGATGGCAGAACAGAGAGGTAATCTGGCCTCAGGCACCAAATCAGCTCTCAGGGTACTCAAGCTACATTAGCCATCCCCCCACACTCAGGCCGGGCTGGGAGGTACCCCAAATGATCTAAGGTGGGGAAAAAAATCAGACCACGCGCAGGACCAGTGCAGCCCAGTCAGTGTACCCGGCCTGGCCATCAAAGCCCCAGCCTCATCGACCTGGGCCAAGCACGGAAAGTGGCCCAGACTAGCCCCTCAGAGCCAAGGTGCCCACCCTCGCCTGCCCAGCTCTGCTGCCTCTGGACATACTCCTGGGAAGAACCCAGTCCCGTGTCCATTCTCTACTGAGCCCAGGGCTCCACCCAAGGGACACCAGCTGGTGTGGCGCACAAGGATGCTGAGGCCAGAGGCCACCCACCATAGCCCCTGTTCCTCATGTGCTGCTCGCAGACATAATCGGAAGAAGACACGGGAGCTCGGCTGGCCCTTTGCAGCAGCAGCCCCACCACTGTGCTGGGTCAGATGCAGCACAGACTGCCAGTTAAATAAAGGGACAGCCTGTTGCCAACAAAACTGGAAACCCAAGGAAAGCCCCCACTCACTTGCTGAGCCTGGGTGCCTATTAGATGTCTAATTGCTGAGCTTCTGTTTCAGGAAATGTCTGAGGGAAGGAGAGGAAAAAACTCCCTAAGAACCCCTTGGGGCCTACAGTCCCCAAAGTTAGCTGGACTTCAGGTCCCTTCCAGTCCTCACCTTTATGATCAAATTAAGGACGTGTCTCCAGGTGGGTGACCTGTGTTCACAAGGGAGCTTAGATCACACTTGCCAACAAATAAAAAGTAAAAATCTCAAACATTGTGTTAAGCAAAACAGCCTGGCACAAAAGAGCCCATATGGTAGGATTCCATATGCATGAAGTTCTAGAACAGGCAAAACGAGTCCAGGTGATAGAAATCAGAGCAGTTGACTGGAAAGATTAGTGGGGAACTTTCTGGGGCGAGGGGATGTTTACTGTCTTATTGGAGTGGCGCTTACTCAGGTGTCATTTGTCAAAAGTCATCCAACTGTACACCTAAAGCATGTTCTTGTGTTTAAAGTATACCTCTGTGTAAAAGAATATTAAGGAAAAAGGTTACATGTTTCGTTAAACTTCATCATGGACATTTTGTGGCATAAATGTAGTATATTGGTGGATTGGCTTATTTCTCTCTGGACACTAAGGGACCCTAGAGGTAGGCCTCCCAGGTTTCTATCTCCCTTAGTGCACACAGTAGGTGCCCTATAAATACCTTGGTTGCCATGCCATCAGTGCACAGTTCCTCTGTGAAGCTTTTTTTCAGCTCAAATACTGAGAAAAATGAGTTGGAAGGAATGGAGCTAGAAAGAGTCTTAGAACTCTTATTAATGTCACGGGCATCTGTGTGCCATGAGGGTGTTTCCTGGGCCACAGATGGGCACCTTTCTGGCCTGATTATGTGTGCCATGTGGGTGTACACAGAGATGACCTGGGGTCTGGGGTGGAATGCCCTTGGGTGACTGATCTGGCTCCCCAACTCTGGGTCTCTGTGGTTTTGGGGTATTAGACCATCCAGGTCCCCACCCTGGAGACCCAGGGCCAGAGGCAGTGCTGCCTTGGCTGACAGCACAGTGCCACTCAGCGTATTCTAGATCCCCTGTGCATGGACCTGGGCATGTGTAAAGGGGCTGACAAGGAAGACTTGGGCCCGGGGGAGGGGGACCTGTACCCTGTGGAGGGGGTACCTGAACGACCTGGGCTATTTGCAGTTCCCCTGGCCTGGCACCCAGACCCTGATGAACAGTCAATGGGCTGAATGAGCTGCCACCAAGCCCCTGACCCCCATCCTTGCTGTGGGGAAGGGCCATGAAGATAAAAACAGGGCCACCCGTCTTTCAGAGAAAACAGCGGCTACCCCCAAGCCAGTTTGTCCTAGGGCGGTGGGCTAAGTTCAGTGAAAACCGACAGTAAGTTTCAGATCATCCCTCCCACCCAGGCAATTATCTTCACAGACTCGGCTCCCCCTCAGCTCCCACCTCTGGAGGCGGACCTGGCCTCAGGGACTCCCATTTCATTTCATCCTTTCCTGGGGAATCACTTCAGCAGAGCCGCAGAGCTAAAGCGGGTGGGGTTTTCCTGTCAGCTGAATTAGCCTCGGCTTCAGCCTAAGTGTTGGAATAAATGAGATGCAAATGCATGTAAATGAGGGCATCCCCGGCTTCAGGGTGGGTGTGTTTGCCTCCATCTCAGGGAGGGACGGGGATGATTCTGCAGGACTTACCAAGGTCGTCGGAGGCGGAGTTTAAGAGTAGAGGACAGGCTCCTCAGACTCTCCCACCTCCCCCAGAACTGGGCTCCGGACTGGACAGGGTTAATGCCTCTG